CACAAACTCAAACTTTTTTCTTCTTATTCAAACACTGGAGTCTCTCCCCGCCCCCAGCCCGCGCGTGCCATCCATTAGATCCCGGCAGGGATAGGCGCAGGGACGCACGCCGGCTCCCATTGGCGGAAAGGGCGCGCGTGCATGTGTGTGTGTGGTGTGTACACGCCGGGGTGTGTGGGGTGGGGGCCGGGTGAGGGCCGTATTGTTGCACGGGGCAGCTGCTGGGAGAGAGCAGACAATGGAGCAGCTGTCCTGCCCTGGTCCCTGCAGACCAGCTGTCCACCCTTATCGACACACACACTTTCTGGGTATTAAGAGGTGGAGCTTTGTGCATAGAATTGGGAAGTGGGGGAGGAGATGGGGAAGGACTTCTGACCCTCTCTCAGAAGAAAAGGGGATGGGATGGGGGTGGGGGCTTCCTCCATCTTTTGTCCCTGAGCGGCCGTGTTAAGAAGAATGCTCGCCCGCCCGCCCCGGCTGAGTAAAGTCCATGGTTACCAGGCAGGTCGGAGATTAGTTCAGGGGCCATAGGGAGCCAGGCGAGTGCGGCCGCGGCCCTGTGGCCTTGGGAGCGCAGCTTGACCCGGCATTTTCTTTGCTGCAGCAATCTGCCTGCCCGGATGCGATGAGCAGCACGGGTTTTGTGACAAGCCAGGGGAGTGCAAGTAAGTCTGCAAAAGCCGTTTTCTCTGTCTCGTTGTCCTTGTACAGCGAGTGTGCATGTAGACTCTCCAGGTGATCACTTGTAAAATGCACGAGACTAGCTGGTGGGGCTGTTATTCGGGTGTTTCTACCCCCTACGTGTATGGAAAAGTGTAAGGTCACAGCTTGTCAGTCTGCTCAGCTCCCTGATTGTGGGAACGTACAGACAGCAGCTGAAAAATGACAGTTTACTTGGGGTCAGTCTTGGGGTGCATTAGAATCCCCTGGGGAGCTGCCAGATGACCCCAGGAGGCAGACCCTGGGGGCCCTAGGAGAGTCCCCTTCTTGTCTGTTTGAGAACCAGGTGCAGGTGCTGCTGATAGGCAGTTTCCTGTGAGCGGGAAATGCTTTGTCCCCCTGGGCAAAGATCGATGACTCCCTGACCCTGTCCTCTCTCCCCTCAGGTGCCGAGTGGGCTGGCAGGGCCGCTACTGTGACCAGTGCATTCGGTACCCGGGCTGTCTCCATGGCACCTGCCAGCAACCCTGGCAGTGCACCTGCCAGGAGGGCTGGGGGGGACTCTTCTGCAACCAGGGTGAGCCTCCAGTTCCCTGCAGGCAGCCAGGGCTCCAGCTCCTCCCTGGGAAGGTGCAGCCTTCCCGGCCTGACCTTGGACTTCCCTCCTCTTCCTGTCCCACCCCTCTCAGACCTCAACTACTGCACACACCACAAGCCCTGCAGGAACGGGGCCACCTGCACCAACACGGGCCAGGGGAGCTACACCTGCTCCTGCCGGCCTGGGTACACCGGGGCCACCTGTGAGGACGAGGTGGACGAGTGCGGGCCCAGCCCCTGCAGGAATGGGGGCAGCTGCACGGTGAGTCTGGGCGCATGGGTTGGGCTCCACGTGGGCCCTGGCTGGACACGGACCCCACGGGTCTGCGGAGCAGCTTTAAGGAGCTTTTCATCTTCCCCGTCACGTAGGATCTCGAGAACGGCTTCTCCTGCACCTGTGCACCCGGCTTCTATGGCAGCGTCTGCGAGCTGAGCGCCATGGCCTGTGCGGACGGGCCTTGCTTCAATGGGGGGCGCTGCTCCGACAACCCCGAGGGAGGCTACACCTGCCACTGCCCCGCAGGCTTTTCCGGCTTCAACTGCGAGAAGAAGGTGGACGCCTGCAGTTCCTCGCCCTGTGCCAATGGTAAGGGCAGCCCACGGAGGCCTCGTCACGGGCTCACATTTAACCTCAGGCCAGGCCCGTGGCTTTGCGAGCCACCTTGAGCTTACGGAGCCCTTACATCTGAACACAGGGACTCTCTGTAGGGGTTTTGGGGGGAGCCTGGAGGGAGGGCACAGAGCTCACTTGGGTCCCACGCCCCGGGGTGCCTGGGAGCAGGCCCCACTGCCACCCTCCAGCCAGCCACCTGGTTTGGAGGGAAGCCCAGCCCTGCACTGTCACCCAGGTAGCCGTCTTGTGTTGGTGTGTCTGCGGGGAAGTGTGGGTGGGACCCCCTAAGCACCTCACAGGGAGGGCAGCAGGCCCCGGACAGGCCGGCCTTTCTGGAAGCTTCCAGAGCTTCACCCTTAGGACAGCCTCGGGAGCCTCCCGGGAGGAGGCGTGTCAGTCGCTCGGATGGTGAGCCGTCCTGTGGCCATGCTCTGGTCCTGTGGCCCGGGGAGGCCGATGCCCCACTCTCGGCAGCAGTGGGCTCCGTGCGGACACGGCCCTGCTTCCTCCCTCTCACCCGGCTCCCTCCTGGGCTTGTAGCTGGGCTGCTAGTCGTCTCTGTTACCTGGTCCCTCGCTGGGCGGCTGTCGGGCTCAGGGAGGCAGGCAGGGTTGTGCACCCGCCCGACACAGCGTAGCCGCTCTGGGGCCACGAGTGGCGTTGTCATCAGTCACGGAGCCAGCGGCTCCCCTGTGGATCTGAGGGAGGCATAGGGTTCCTTACCTTGAGCTGCAACCCCCTGCAGGCCACAGGCTGGCTGTCCTGGTCTCTCCTGTGGGTCCCGCCGCGGCAGACACAGCCCGTGTTCCCTGTGTTTCAGGTGCGCAGTGTGTGGACTTGGGCGACGCCTACATGTGCCGCTGCCGGGCCGGTTTCTCGGGGCGGCACTGCCAGGACAATGTGGATGACTGCGCCTCCTCCCCCTGTGCCCACGGCGGCACCTGCCGGGACGGTGTGAACGAGTTCTCTTGCACCTGCCCGCCCGGCTACAGCGGCAGGAACTGCAGCACGCCCATCAGCCGGTGTGAGCACGCGCCCTGCCACAACGGCGCCACCTGCCACGAGAGGGCTCGCCGCTACCTGTGCGAGTGCGCCCGGGGCTACGGGGGCCCCAACTGCCAGTTCCTGCTCCCCGAGCTGCCGCCCCCGGCCCCCGAGGAGTACATGGAGGCTGGGCCCTTCCCCTGGGTAGCCGTCTGCGCGGGCGCGGTCCTGGTGCTCGTGCTGCTGCTGGGCTGTGCGGCCGCAGGGGTCTGCGTGCGGCTGCGGCTGCAGAAGGGCCCGCCCCTGGCCGACCCCTGCCACGGGGAGACGGAGACCATGAACAACCTGGCCAGCTGCCAGCGGGAGAAGGACGTGTCCGTCAGCATCATCGGGGCCACGCAGATCAAGAACACCAACAAGAAGGTGGACTTCCACGGGGACCACGGCAGCGGCAAGAACGGCCCCAAGGCCCGCTACCCCGGCGTGGACTATAACCTGGTGCCCGAGCCCAAGGGCGAGGATGCCGCCTCCAGGGACCCCCACAGCAAGCGTGATGCCAAGTGCCAGCTGCAGGGCTCTCCTGGGGAGGAGAAGAGCACCCCGACACTCAGGGGGTGAGTGCTGTGCATCAGGAGGGTCGTCGGGGAGGCCACCTGGGGAGGGCTCGCCGACACTCGGGCGTGCTTTGAGCCAAGCTGGACAAGGGTGTTCTCTGAGCTCTGGTTCAAACATGCTTGCCCGGCTGGTGTGGCTCAGTGGACTGAGCATCGACCTATGAACCAGGAGCTCACAGTTTGATTCCCGGTCAGGGCCCGGGTTGTGGGCTCCATCCCCAGGGTGGGTCATGCAGGAGCCGATTCATGATTCTCTCTCATCATTGATGTTTCTATCTATCTCTCCCATTCTCACTTCCTCTCTGAAATCAGTAGATTTAAAAAGAAATGTTTGCACATCTTATTGTGGTTCTGTTTTATTTTCCTTTCAGTAGGGATGCATCTGAAAGAAAAAGGCGGGACTCTGTGTACTCTGCTTCAAAAGACACCAAGTACCAGTCGGTGTTCGTCATATCAGAGAAGGACGAGTGTGTCATAGCCACTGAGGTGGGTGTGGGCACGGCCCTTGAAGGCACGTACGGGCTGTCAGTCTGGACTTTGAGCTAACTTCCCGTTCTGTCTCGTTGGCCCCTCTAGGTGTAAAATTGAGGTGATATGGCAAAATTCCCGTTTCTCTTAAACTACATAGAATTCCAAGGATCTATGCCCCAACGGATGCTGCTGAGAGGGAAAAGGAGGCCTTCGCGACGGCGGTGGGACGAGGCTCCAGAGGTCAGCCAGCGGGGGGCTGCAGGCTCGGGCTGCTCCAGGACGCCTGTTGCACTCTGCTTTTCGTGACGTCTCCATTGCACTATGGACAGTTGCTTCTAAGAAATATATATTTAAATGAGTGGATTAATGACGACATGAGACGCATGCACTGCCCGGAGTGTATATTTTGGATTCTTATGAGCCAGTCTTTCTTGAATTAGAACCACAAACACTGCCTTTATCGTCCTTTTTGATACTAAAATGTGTTTTTTTTTTCTAGGTGGGAAAAGATGTGTGTTATTTTTTGGACTTGTAAAAATATTTTTCATGATATCTGTAAAGCTTGAGTATTTTGTGATGTTCATTTTTTTTATAATTTAAATTTTTGGTAAATATGTACAAAGGCACTTCGGGTCTATGTGACTATATTTTTTGTATATAAATGTATTTATGGAATATTGTGCAAATGTTATTTGAGTTTTTTACTGTTTTGTTAATGAAGAAATTCCTTTTTAAAATATTTTTCCAAAATAAATATTATGAATGGCGGCCTGTGGCATGCTGGCTTTCTGAGCGAGGCCTCGAGAACAGACACGGCGGGGCCCCCGATTTTCCGTTTCTAACATCTGTGCTGGTTCCCTTGGATTGAGCGAAAGCCACCTTCCTGGCTCCTGGGCCCATTCCGAGGGCCTCCAGCTGTCACTGCGGGGACAGCCGAGGAGCCGCCCTGGTGGAAGCAGCCCCAGCCACTGGGCGACCCGCCACCCTCCTTCCGTCTTCCTTCCTAAGGACGGAACAGACGCCATGAGGAACGTTCACGGCAAAGACTCTGACTTAGAGTGATACCGATTCTCGGTTGGTTTGTGGGTTCATTTCCAGTTAATTCAAAAGAGTTAGTTGCCTTCTAATTCAATCCAGTTGTGATGGGTTAGCGACAGTAATAAGATTACCAGCGCTTGCTGCAGGCCAGGCCCCAGTTACGCCTTCTGTGAGCCATCTCGCTGGTCCTGGCGGTCCCGAGAGTGATGTCATTGCTGGTCATGCAGAGGGAACGGGTGTGGGGAGTGAAGTGACTTGTGCAGGTTTTTCCCCCCAAAATGTATTTTTATTGATTTCAGAGATGAAGGGAGTGGGGGGGAGGTTGTGCAGGGTTTGTAAGTGGCAGTGTCAACCTTGAAGTCTGGGAAGCTGGCTCCATGCGCCAGAGTGATCCTTGGTCATTGTCAGAAATGCTGGTGTCGTAGGTGGTTCTGAGGACGGGTGCAGGTATCGGCTCGCAGACTCGGGTGTCTTTCTGGGTTGGAGGGAACCGACCAACAGACTCCCTGGTCCCAGGGACAGGAGGTCTTTGCACTGGTCCTGATTGCATAATCAGAAGTTCTGGGATCTTCCTGAGGAGGAGAGGCTGGTGTGTGTGTGTGTGTGTGTGTGTGAACCGAGGCCCCCCTTCCTCGCCTTTGGCTGGTGCCCCTGGGGAGCGGGCTCTGACTTGGTGACTGTGCCCGGACTTCCTGCCTCTGAGTGACAGCCGTCAGAAGCTGTGGCAGTCACAACCAACTCCAGAGGGAGGGACACC